TTACTAATGAATGCCCAGCAGAAATTCTTGCAACCAAATCCTTCTTTTTTTCTCGAAGCACATGTATTTATAAGACCTAAACTAATCTGTGTAAATTCTAATTTTTTTTCACTTTTAATTATTGTGAAACCTATAAATGCTCCCTATTAATATGCAGAGAGCTTTCTGGATTCAGTATACATCACTGGAAGTAATTATGGATAAGAGCTTTTTTGCCTGTGAGGTGAAGTAGGAAGACAAACACTGCCCTCTTGAGCCTGTCGGCAGCAGCTCGAAGACAGCTGGCACCAAGCCCACTGGCATTTTCACTCCAGAATAATCCATCTGAACATTTCAATATGGCTCTGTCTGTGTCTCTGTCTGGCTCTTTGTCTCTTGCGCACTCTTGTTTCTCTGTGGTGCATGTGAATGTTTCCTTTTTATCTTATAATCTCAGTGCAAACCTCTCTGCACCATCTGAGCAGTTTTAAATAGTAGAATGTGTCTTGAAAGGGGGGAGGGGTTCTTTTAAACAGTCAAAGGTGAGAGGAGGGTGAAACTTCTTAAAGGGCAAAGAAAGAGGAGAGCAAAGTGGGAAGTCAGTGCAGTTATGAAGGTCCTGTGTGGTTAGTGTGCTAAGATTCTTAATTTCAGCACTTTGCCAAGTCCCACTGAAACAGGCCTACCACACTTACATTGGGAATGATCAAGGGCAAAGACACACACTGGTATACACACTCTGAGGTAGTGCTTTGCACCGAATTTCTCCCCTGTTTCTCTTTTTGGGAAATGAACAGAGCCACTTTGAGAATCAGAAGTAAAGCATTTTCTAAGGGGTAAGTGTTTTTCAATAGCTCCACAGCACTGTTCATTACCCTCGTGACAGCTGCAAGATTACTGCTATGATTGTTTTTTTTTTTTTCAAGATATTTAAAGAAAGGCTGTTTCACCACAGGAGGAGATAATTTTAACAGTGGAAGAAATTTTGCTCATTAAAAGATAATGCACTTCTTTGAAAACAGACTTTTTTTAGAAGTATAGTATCTGTCTTGAAGTTATGGAAGTTGCATAAAGGCAGTCTTTCTTATTATGCTAAATCTGAGTTGTACAATATCAAACTTCTTTTATTTTCTTTTGTGTTGTAAAATGTGCTTCTTCAGATTTACCACAGTGTATCTTGTCTCACAAATATTTATCCTTCTTACAAAAAAGCATTTGTAAAAACAAAAGTTTTTTGTTATTTATTTATTGTTAATTGATTGTTGATTGTTATGTGAGGAAATTGCTATTAAGTACAACTGAAGGTCAAAGTATTTCCATTTTGTGCTACTTTATACTTCTAAAATAATTTTTACACTTACACAATGTACATGTATCTGAGCTGTTTCCTACTGTTTGAGGCCTTTATGAGGACCTAAGCTAATATGTATAATTAATTTATGAGAGTTGTCTCAGAAGTTCTTTTATTACTTGAGCTTTTTTATGTTTTATTTATTCATTTAAATTTCATTTCCTAATATGAAGGTCTTAAGGTTCAAAGCAGAAATGTTTAAACACAGTGAGTCTAACAGGACTGGGCTCACCTCATAAAACACCCATTAGGTATCAGTTTTTAATTGCAGAATGATTACTAAAATCTACATATACTGCAATCAAAACACAGAGAATATATACAGTATACATTATCTACAGCCATGGGTATATACAGTGTATCTCTTACACAAGCCATTCTTCTACAGAATGACTGCTTTTATAGTGGTAATATTTATGTACTCCTACCTACACAGGATTCCAAATAAAAAGCTTTCACATGCACCAAAGTATTTTTCCATTGTTCTATTACTACCTATTGCTATTTAGGATCTACATACTTTTCCACTGCTTCTACTGGTTGCCATGAGTGTACAAGTAATTAATTCATTTAAACCTGATTATTTCAGAAATGCTTGGCAACTCCATCTGAGAACATGACTGCCTCTCCTTGTCACTGAAACACTGGCCTTTCCATGCACTTGTATAGTATTTGCGAAGTCACTTTTTATTGTAATATTTTTATGATGGAATTAATTATATTTGATGTAAAATTATTTTTTCCATCAGCTAACTGGAAGACAGGATGAGCAGAGTACACACTGAGCTCCTGAGGCTGCTGATAGCTGCTGACAAGCCGGCTGTTGCTAATCGCTGCTGCTGGAAAGGACTGTTGGAGGGTAGGAACATGTGTCTGCACACACACACACACACATACACACATCTGCAATCACTGCTAATCCTGATAGGTAGAAAAAATGTTGAATAGCCACTAGGCTGCACTGCTGTGTTGTCTGTCTGACTGCTGGGTGAACTCTGAGCTTTCCTGTGTATTTAGCACAAGGTCAAAAAAAGTCATGGAAAGTGTGTGATTTTCTCAATTTAATTGGCATGTCCATTTTATCAATAAGGACTTTGACACAATTTAATGTATCTCCTAGTCCAGCAAGGGGCTAAAGACCAGCTGTCTTTAGCCCCTTGTTGTCGAGGCGTGAGTGGGGCAGTGTGTTCACATGAGAGCATGGTGGGTCTGAGGACATGTGACATGCCAGGGTCTTACATGGAGCATCTGCCATGTACATTCACCGCTATCATGTTATCTTCCCCATCCATAAATATTAATGCAGAGGTGTTTAATTGCTGCTGCTGCTGAGCTGTTACTGTCGGGGGCAACAGTGCTGCTGTGGGTAGAGCGGTCACCTCTCAACCAGGAGGTTGAACATTCAAATCTCACTGCCTGCAGTCCACATGTCAAAGTGTCCTTGGGCAAGACAATGAACCCCCCGAGTTGCCTGTGATAGCAGCGCATACGCATGCAGTGGCTCCAAACACTGTATGCATCGGCACGGCTCCAAACAAAATTTCATTGTATGTGTTACAATAAAATAAAGCTTCTTCTTACCTTATTCAAATGTACAAGTTGTGATTTAACCAACAATCTCCTCCTAGCCTCAGACAAAGGCCTTTCTAATATAATTCATTATTAGACTCGATTGGCTTTTCTCAAACTATAAATAAACCCACTCACTGTTGTAATCACACCCTTGATCTTGTTCTGACATATGGCATCGAAACTGAACACTTAATAGATTTTCCCCGTTTTCTGACCAAGTTCTAATAACTTTTGTATTTACATTGATGTATTATGCAGTATGTGGGAAACAATTCCACTACAGTAGATGTCTATCTGACAATGCTGTTACCAAACATAATTAAATAATTCCATCATTATTTACTTCAGTGCCATTTGCCAACAAAATGGAGGGCGTCCACCTTAACTTTACTCCCACACAAGTCAATAATCTTGTTGGCAGTGCTGCAGCCTCCCTGTGTAAAACATTTGATACTCCCTAACGCAGACATCATGAAAACTGGAAAGGAGGTGGCACACCATTAAGTCAGAAGAGTTTTTCATAGCCTGGAAAGATAGTTTAATAACATTAAAAAAGCCCTTCGTAGTGCCAGAACCGCATTTTATTCATCACTGATTGAGGAAAATAAGAACAACCCCAGGTTTCTTTTCAGCACTGTAGCCAGGCTGACAAAGAGCCACAGTGCTGTTGAGCTTAACATTCCCTTAGATCTCAACATCATTGACTTCATGAGCTTCTTTGCAAATATAATAAGGATAATCTACTTTGTTTGGCCAAGTATGTTACACACAAGGAATTTGTTTCCAGTACAGAACTGAGGCAGTCATCTGCGGCACCAATTCAGTGTCTTGCCCAAGGACACTTGAACACATGGACTACAGGCACCGAGATTTGAACCTCTAACCCGCTGGTTGGGAGATAACTGCTCTACCCACTGAACCACACAAAATCATTAGACAGAAAAATTATCAGACCCTTTCCACAACTCTCACAGACGTGCCCTCAAGAATAACAGCTTTAGAAACATCAGTAAGACCTCATTTATATTTAGACTGCTTCTCTCCCATAAATCTCTCTGGGTTGACCTCAACAATTGTTTCATCTAAACCATCAACATGTCTCTTAGACCCCATCCCAACCAGGCTGCCCATTTTTGTTCTGAGCTCAGTGATATTTTTACTTATGTGCACTCTGAAGCATCTTTTGTTTAGGTCTGGCTGTTCTCCCTCCAGATACAGGAGTGACTTTTCTTTTCTTTTTTTTTTTTTTTTTTTGTTGCCCTGTGTGGCAGTACCCGGCGTCCCTGAATTTTATTACCCTGACAGTTTCTTTTCACTGTTTCTCCCGCTGCTTTAGGTGTTTCTTACCTAGTTAAGCTCTCCTCCATCATCAGCCCAAGCCGCTGGGTCCCCTCTGACATCATTGTCTTATGGTTCACTATTGTCTGACGTTGACCAGATCTTGCCTGCCACTCCATCCTTGTCAGACTCCTGAGTCCCGTTTCTCCCCAGGGTTCTGCAGCCACACCATTCTGGTGCACCAGATCTTGTCTGTTCTCTGAAGCTGAGCAGGGCTGGGTCTGGTCGTTACCTGGATGAGAAACTACCTGGGAGCACCAAGTGCTATAGTCTGGAGCTTTCTCTGCTAGTGAATTAAGATCCCTACTCAGTTTTAGTGGTGTCAACTGCTGTATCTTGGTATTAAACTTTTTAACTTACTGTTCTGTCTCTGGCATCTGCATGTGGGACCTTGCAAACCATACATTTTAACACGCAAAACCCAGATAGCTTTTTTTTTATTATATATCGTATAAGAAAGAGAAATTATCACTTTCTTAGGCTGTTGAAAAATTTCCACGCAGATGGAAAAAGGCTAAGTAATTTGGCCAAGGTAAATCATAAGGGTGTGTGTTTTTCATTTGCATTTCACTCTAGTTTGTAACACACATCCTTAGATGGTCCTTTATACATGACTAATTCCTCTTGAAAACTTATGTGAGAGTTATTTATGACTTCATGGTGAGTTGTATGGGTAAGGAGTTTCACATATTGATCTCTCAAACAGAGAATTCTTTTGAGACCAAGTTTTGTCAGGTGTGTTTTTCTTCCCAGCTGTTACGTTGGCTATGAGAATCACATTGATGGGGATGTGTGCGAGTTCTTTACTCATCATGATACCCAGCCTGAGGTGCACAACGCTCATCCCCAGGGTACAGGCTGCTGCAGATCCCTGGTACATTGTGCCTGTGTGGAGGTCAGTACTGCAGCTCCTTATTCTCAATAACAGCCTTAATCACATCCAGCCCCAAACAGTTTGTTTGGTTTGTGGTTTCTGCACATGACTACTCGAGATTCTCATTTCTGTTTTCCCACACAATTATGTTTGACACTTACACTTCATAGTGTAGCAGTCGTAATGTTGAACTCATATTTATGAGTTGTTTAATCTTTGTGTGTGTGTGTGTGTTTGTGTGTGTGTGTGCTGTAGTGGGCCTGCTGTGGTACAGAGCGAACACTTAACACCAAATACAGACAGGAAGTAGGTTTCATCACCCAGCTCATAAAGCTTTAGCAAAATCAAAATCATCTCCCATTCATAAATTGTGATTATATTGTCTTAATAAAAGCAGAATATTATCCTTTCTTGTCCAATCAGTATCTTAGTTTCATGTCTTTCTGCCATTAAGCTAATATTAACATAACAATAGACCAACAATACAGACTTCATTAGCAAGTGAAGCTGTTCAGCTGTCATTACATGACTCAGGTGTGGAACATGGGTTAGAAGATAATGCAAAATGGTCTGTGGCATCACAGCTCAATTAATTCAATATTCCCTAAGGACTGTTGTTAAGATAGATGATTTGTTGGTTAAAATATTATTTTTTCTGAGGATGAAAAAGATGCAGAAAATGCTTTACATTGTGGCTGAGTCTGCTGGAAATGGAGATTAAAAATAAATCAGAATAAAACCCATGTGGTACATTTTTTAAATAACTCACTTCCAAAAAAGTTATTTTTCGCTGTGGTTCAACAGTATTGTTATATGCTCAACAACATAAACATCTCACTTTTAAAGATGGCATCAGCATTCTGGCTAACTCAGAGCTTTAGGGCCAGTGCTTAACAGGGTAAAAATGTGTGTTTTGTACTTACAAATGAATAAATCATGTCTATATCCTGTGTCTGACTATGACATCTGGGGGTTCCATGAATTAGTGAGATGAAATCATTGTTTTTTATGATTGATTCTCTTTATATTTTCCAAAATTGATGCGTAACAGTGTAATATTTCTGATGCCCAACACGAACTATTTTTGATGTATAAAGAAAGATGGTTTGCTGGCATCTGATCTAAACCTAAATTAAAAATATTGTCAAATAAAGGACAGCTATGAGGTAGAGTCTTATATGAGGTAGAACCTGATCAAAAGCCAGAGGTCTGTGCTCAGTTACACTGTGGTACTGTTCCTTTAGCTACTGAAATAGCTTGACTGGTTTATTGGAAGATAAAAACTGATATGTGTTATGTGAATTGAGGGAGACTGAAGATGAAATCCATTTTATATTTTATTGTCCACTGTTTGATGACTTGAGGGATACTCTTTTTTTGTAAAATGTCTTCAATATCTGCCTTTTTTTTTTGATTGATGCTTATAAGAAACTTGAATTGTCTTTTAAAAAGAGAACTTTTTATGTGGTGGAGTTTATTTGTAGAGCCTGGGACAGAAGACAAAGCTTTTTGTATGGTCTGTAATATAAGGAGGTTATGGTAGAGTGAAAATGTATCTTTTTCATGGAAACAACTGTTTTGCGGTGTCTTGTAAGTCCATGTGGGCTGGGCACTTTGGTGCATGACAAATAAAATAAATCTGTCTGCAACCATTTTCAGCACAAATACAAAATTTGTAACCATCCCTCTCTTATGTTCATCAGTAATAAAGTGTTTAAATGAATCTTCCTCAGTAATGTTTTTATTTTTATCTAATATAATATTTTTCAGGGAGTAGAAATGTCATTCATCTAAAACACATGCAAGAAAAAACAAGTAACTTTATTCAAAATACAGCCCATCTTAATAAGATAACAGTGTGTGAGAGACACTGGGTTCTATTTTCCTGCATCAGGGTGCAGTGTTAAACTCTAGGCACAACATGAATTTGGGCGTATTCAATGGTGTTTTGCAAATTTGGTGACCTCAGAAGGCACGTTTTGTATGGGGGTGGAATGCATTATTATAGGGAGGAATAAATTGTGAGCTTTGGTGGTGGCTTTGGCATAAATATTCACTCAGTAGTCTGCTAATATCACTGACCGGCTGGATCCAGTGCACAAAATCCATGGCGTCTCACATGTAACTTTATAAATGTTTCACTGTTTTTAAAATAATACAATAAAATCACATTGTAATCACTGTGTTTGTGGTGAAACTGACTGTGGTCCTTCACAGTGCACAGCCAGTGGATGTGTTGCCAACTTTATCTCCACCTACAGCTGCTTTCAAAGCTGATCAAACAGCAATAAAAAGCAAAAGCAGACACCACATATAACCCTGTGGTAGTGAAGGTACTGTATGTCTGTGTGAAACTTGTTCGTTTGCAGAAACTGTAGCTTAACAGTGACATCTGCCACAGTGAGGTCAGACTGGCATAATATCTGTGAATGGGGCGATGCAGAAATTGCACTGGCAGGAAAATAAAGCCCATAATGTGATCAGTTTAAAGCTCCTCTAGTCAATCTTTTCATATTATGAATGGATGAAATGACTAATGTAAAATGGGCTTACTAGTAATGATGTAGAAAGAGACAGAGGCCGATGTGTGTTTAATTTAGATGACAGTTTTATGAAAGTGCTCAAAAATCAAACTTGTTGTTGTGCTTCTGTGCACTGTGTGCAGTTGGAGCCAAGTGTCCTTGTAGATTTTTTTTTTTACATGATAGTCTAAAGTTGTGCGAATGGTACACATCTGTACTGCATAGTAGGTGTGTCCATACATGTCAGGTGCATGTGAGATTTCACATCCACACTCTAGTCCCACCACTGTTGTCTTTTCCCAACCTGCTCTGTATACAAACTCTGAGGCAGCCTGTCTCTCTGCTAATAATCATTTATTGCAGTACCTGAAACTGAGTGTTTATGATATGATTGAGCAATATTAAATCCTTCAAATCATCCATACATGTATTCCAAATCTAGTGAGGGAATCAAAATTAACATGATTATATTTATATACAGTTTAATCTTTTTCAACTTCCCCACTTCCACCTTTGGCATTTTTGATGCTCATTTATCAGTGAAGGGCATCCTGTCATGCCTTTAGTGCTTGTTTAAACCAAACCTTTAGAGATGTTTTTTGAGTTTAAATATCACTATATCAATTTTAACAGCTGGGGATGTAAAAGCTTTGAAGCTCACAAAACTGGGTCCATCCAGACAAAAGTTAACCTTTAATTCCAAGCCCATGATTTACCAAATGTTTCATGGTTGAAACTCAACAAAACAAGAGACTTCAAGCTTTGTTGTCAGTTGTAGCAGGGGTGAGCAAGTTAGATTTGTGTGTCCACCTCTGAGAATGTGCCACAGTCCAGTGGAGCAGAAGTGGAATTTCACGTCTGCAATTATTGAACAACAGGGTGCAAATCAAGAATTTGAGCTGGAAAGGAGGAAAGGGTGGTGAGAGTGGGCAAAAAGTCAGGCAAGGGTGAAAAGTTAGGAAACAACTGATAAAGCACTGACAAATGGCCAAATCCATTTTTATGTCTGTTTACTTTATTCTAAAAGAAACAGACAGGGGTATTCTGTAAATGAGATGATACACAACACAGAAGAGGTAAATATTAGAGAAAGGAACAACTTTGTAAATAAATGCAGGCATCAGAAGGGTATTTGAACACTCAGCAAACTGGTGTTCCTTAGTACAGGAGGAGACAGCACACAGTACAGTACATCCTTTGGAGTCAATAATGCGACTCTGTCATTCACTCAAAATCATAGTGGCAAACAAAACAAAATGAATGTACTCTGTATATCCTCAATCCAGGCTACTTGAAAGCAGGCACACTGCGGCTGTTCTGTAAAAACTGTCGCCTAAGGCATTATGCTGAAGATTTATCATATGTATGTCTTTGTTGTTGTGTAAGTGGCACTGTAGAGTAGCTTCACATTCATTTGCAGAACAGTAGAAAAGGCATATTGAACTGCTGGCAGACAAAAGTATGAATACACATCCCTCAGATGGGATGGGAGACTATGAACAGTCCTTGTAGTGAAAGACATACATGTGCACAAACGTGTTATAAGGCACTGTAGTAAAACATTATATTGTATGCAGTAAAAAAAACTAAAATAAAAATACAGGAGGTGGTGTATACACCTGGGCATTTTATCATGTTATAGAAAACATACCCTGAACAACTGTCTCTCCCAAAGTCAACAAAACAGACCAGACAAGGATATCAATATTTTTATGAAAACCTCCATTACCATTTTTTTTTAAACTTCAACAAACACTCAAATTTATGTTTCTGCAATATGCTTGGAAGGTTGTTCATAATGTCATTCTTTAAAGGTGTCTATTTGTCTGTTTTGTGTTCCTCAGTGAGAGGGTTTGGTCTGTTGACAGAATCTAAACCATGGTAAGGCCAGAAGACTCTCCCAAACTACAAGTACTGCTCCCTTTTCTCTGGTGGGGTACTTTTAACATTTGGTCTGCAATTCAAAAGGGAAAAAAGACATGTTTCAGTCAAAGTACAGTCACACTGAAAAACAAAATAAACCCAAAAGACACATTTACAAAAAAACCCAGAAGTCATAGGATATAAGTGAAGCAACAAATCAATACAACCACAACTCATTGTTAACTTTCAGTCGATAATGGGGGAGAGGGGGTGTGGAAGTTGTAGTAGAGTGTTTACATGTTGGAAGCCACCTCATTTCTTAAAGAAAATGTCTGATCACATATCCTTTAAGTGTCTATAGTTATTGAAACGGCTCAGTAGGTGGGGAAATGGGAGAAAACAGTACATCTTGGTCTCCATTAAAACTGATAAGGTGCCATTGTAGTACTGAGAAAAGAGGAATATTCTACAACAAGAGGTCCAAATCTGAGGTCTAAGAGGTAACAGGAGGAAAGGGGGAAGACAGTAGTTGGACAGTCGGACAGTCCTCGATAAAAAGGCAGGGGCTGATCAGTCAGGGAAACTAGTTTCACTCAACAACTCTGCCCTGAATTAGAGGAGAGAAGAAGACAGTCAGAGAAGAACAGGATTAGAGGACAGGAGGGGAAATCAGAGACACATCAAGACCTCTCAGATTCTCACAACAGCTATGGAGTGATAGAAATAATTGTAAAGATGTTAGCAAAAGTGGTGGAAAGTCAGTGTGAAGGAGCATGGGAGGTGAGGCTACATGTTAGCTTGCTAGTAATCTACACATCAAAAATATTACAGGTACCAAATGCATTTTAATAATGATGGACGAACTGATTGATAAACATGAAACATTATAATAATTTATAGATTTTACTGGCTGAACTTAAGTTAGCTGGTATTTCATCATCTATGTTAAGGAAGCGTATGAAATTTTGGGTGAATGTTAGACAAGTTTGATACCACTGCATAGGTTTGCATAATAAGCATTAGCAGGTCTGTCCAAAATTAGCTAAATGCATCTTTAAAGCTCAAAAATTAAGACATATCTTGTTTTGTATTTTACCTTTAGACACACCTGTTTCCTCGTTTCCGGTGTTTGTGCTAAGCTAAGCTAACATCTCCTGGCTGTAGCTTCATAATAAAAACATGGATATCATAGTAGTATCGTTCTTGCCATCTAACACCTAACAAGCAATTCCCAAAATGTGAAACTACTTTTGTATATTTTCTAAATCTTTGGACAATACAACAAGTTCTATAAAAGGTTGTGTTGAGCAATTCTGATTCAAAATACAGCTGCTGCTGACAGATGCCTGGCATCCCCCTTTATTTAAAGAGCACAAGGAATTTCCTATGGACTTACAACCCCACAATCTGAGAATAACAGAGCACTCAACACATGCGTGTCTACCAGGAGGAGATGCCATATAACTGGGAAAGGGGGGACTGGGACCTATTCTAAGAAAAGTTAATGGCTTTATTATCTGGAACAGTGATGGACCAGCCATTTTTGAAACACAAATGAGGGCAAAGTGATGTTCGGGCATCAATGGGGAGACCCAAGAGTCAGTTTAGACTCATGTTGAGGTCTTCAGGCTTTAAAATTGTTGTAGTTATCTATTACATTTGATCCCCATGGAGCAGTGAGTGGTTTGCAATAGACCTGTACTCAATTTACAGTAAATCAAATAGTGCCTACTCCAGTAATGTCAAATATGGTTTATATTATTTACACCTCATTTTCAAATATCATGTTAGCTTATGTTCCACAGTAAAGCAATGAGTAATACTGTGCTGGTGTCTTAGCTTATGGTTCCCTGTAAGATTAGATTTGTGTGAGTAGGCTATTAGGTATGTGAGTAGGTGTGATTAGGTATTTGGTTAGACAAGAGATTAGATGAAGGAGCGTATGAATCAGGTAGTAGTACAGAGCGTGATGATATATGATGGAGAGAACTTTCTCTTAGTGATGAGTAATATGTGAAATTCATTCATTCATTCTCAGAACAAACTAAGCAGACACCTTTTGCTAACAGTTCACCTCCACAGCTGCTGTTCAGACTGTCTGTGTGCTACTCCTGTAAAGTGACTGTTATGTAAAATAGAACTACCTTAAGTGAAGTTCTTCAGTGGTTAAAATGGCTGCCTGAGTCATTGATTAAACTGTTTTAATCAGGGCTGAAGCTAATATCATGTATACTATTTTATCTAGAGGTTTTGGGGTAGTTTTTTGGGTGAGGGTTACATTTTTATCATTTAAACTACATTTATGAGTCGATTTTAGTATTCATTAGGCTCCATAAATTTAAATCTGGCTACTTTTAGATCTTGAAATGAAAGATTTTGTTTTGAAAGCCAATAACATTTAGAAATATTATAAGTGATCAAGTATATATGTATTTCTAAAATTCTGGCTACTTCCCTGATCTCATTATATGTAAAGCAAATTAAACTTAATCAATATTTTGGGTTTTAGAGTGGGCTTTTCACCTTTTTTATCAAGAGCAATTAGGCAGTTAATTTGATCTCCCTTATTTTTATCTTCAAAAATATCCTTCTTCTTCAGGGTAGCTGCTACTAATTGGACAGCTGCGCCACAGTAAGCCTGTCAGAGCTCCTTTGCCTCATGCCTTTTGTTGCCTACTTTCACACAGCTGTGCTTTAGGTCTAAGCAGGAGAAATCAGAGTCCTCTGCGATCACACCCTAAAAGGCCTGTTTTCTTGGGTGAGGTTGTACAAGCCAACCTCTGTTTCTCCCACAGCAGCAGAGGAGCTGCTCAGTAACCTTTCTGTGTTTTGTACAGTGGTTTGGGCTCTCCCTTTACACAACCTAACTGCACCAGTGGAGTGTGAAACCACAAAGCAATATGGAAGCAAACACAGATGCAGCTCCAACCAGGAAGCACTGGGCATGCTAATAAAAGTTCAAGTTTTTCAGTACTAGTATTTTTAGCTCCATGTCCATTGTCTTTTGGTGTCTGCTGAGATACAATTTATAATTTGCCACTGGGTTCACTTTAAATACACTTTTGCTCTACCAAGAAACTTTTTTAAAATTGTTTTTCTTTTGATCTCTTTGAGAATGGGTGACTCAAAGTGAGCAGCTGTGATTGTTGGAGTTAGATTTAAGCAGCTGCAGTATTTAATGCCATTAAGGCACATGAGAGGTTTTCATTGACAATACAAGCTATATACTGTAAGTGATGATTAATGTGAAATATGTAGGTTGTCTGTAGTTGTTTTAGCCACAGAAATAAATCCTACTGGTGAATAATGTGTCTGTGTGTAATTCTGTATGTGGTGTGTATGAGTACTTGTAGTGAATGCCAGTGTGTGAGTACTACTTGACTGTGTGTGTGTGTTTGTATTGCATGATAGTCTTCTGGTTTTGTTTTAGCAGGCATAATCTGAGTGAAAGGGTGGTGCCAAATGTGTCCTCTGCTCTCTGTTTGGGTGGCTGCTGGAAGGGGATGGGGTTTACACGTACTCCCTGGCTGTGGAAGGCTGTGATTGGCGGTAATATTGCTGTCCTCGCAGGTCTTCTTTGGAGCAGGAGCAGCACAGCAAGGAGCCGCCCAGTACCGTCAGACTGGCCGCGGCCCAGCCCACAAACAGGGCCGAGCCGAACTCATACCTGTGCAGCAAACAGGGAGGACAAGGACGTGAACACATACACAGTGAAGGTTTTACTCCTACTTTCCCCATTCATTTTTAGTGGTTAGCATCAGCTGAAAAACATCACAAGAATGTATTTAAATTTTTAGTAGACCCACTACAGGGGGCAGGCAAAAGGAGATAACCTGGAATCTTTTAACTATCTTTTTTCTTATCTCAATATAATACTAAAGCTCAAAATGGAAAATAATGGCATGGTATAGATTATAATATATTAGATATAAGTAATCAGAGCTTTGAAATAAAATTGCCAATATTTTTGCAGTTTTGTATAGCCCAACAAAAAGTGGCCTTGATATGTTTAGAAAGACGTCTGGCTATTTAATGATGGCCAAACATAAGGCTCATAACTGTTGTAATTAGAACATTCATTTAGGCTGCAATCTCTGGCTGCCTGTAACATATCAAGATGAGAATGGCAATTTTTTTTTCAAGTAAAACATATCCAATTTCTGTATAAATATACTGTATGAGACAGGTTCTCAACAATGTCAGTAAACAAGATGGAGTACAAGTGCAGAGAGCCAGATAAATACAATTTATATACATTAGGTTTTTGTTGTTTCAGTGTTGTTATGAAAACACTGAGATCAGCATTTTTTTGGGAGCAGGCATCTTGCCCTTAAGCTTCCTTTTTCTCGTCCACACATCCTCTTTTCAATATCAGTTCAAACTAACATTACACAATTGCAAAACACTTTGTCTTATTACATGCAAAATGATATCTGAAATTAAGTTGAATTTTTAATGTGCTATTTGTGGTTTTCAGAACACTGAGTATACTGTAACCATTGGCAATGTTTTGTGACATGTTCATTGGGTTTTTCTGAAGCATCTTGTAGACAACAGATCAAACAAGGTGTACTCTCCCTGTGAGCAACCCAATCCCACATCGCACTGTACGTATGACAGCAGCCATCCAGACAGGGTAGTTTAATGACAGAACCTCAGATGGTTGATTTGATAGGTTTGGACTGCATCATGCAGCTGGCAACAATTAAATGTTTTGCCTCATAACAGCCTAATACACAAATTATATGGAGAAAAAAGGTGCATTTTTCCAAGCAAGTATTAATAATAATGAGAGTAAAACAGGTCTTTCAGAATTTCTGTGCCACAGAAGGTTGGCTCCTCTGTAGTAATTAAGGTTGCAGGTGTTCAAGAATTCAAGCATTTGGCATCAGGTGATCTACATACTTGGCATTGAGCGGTGTATTTGGGTTGAAGAACTGATAGGACACCTGCGTGGCATACCAGGACACAGACACCAGTGTACATAGACCTGTGGAGGGAGAACAGAAAAAGAAGCATATATTAGATCTCCTGTATCCAATTAATCTTACAAACATTCACCCGAGTTCCAACAGCACACAAATTAATTGCAGAATACTTGCTTAGTTAATATTCTCCCCTGGGTTTATGCTTTATGTCTGAGGTCAGCAGCTAATGTCTCTAAAATGACCACTTCCTGTTTACAGCAGGGGCTCTAATTACCCATAAACTCCCACTGAGATTCAGGCTAGAAAAATGCCAACCCACTCTTGCTAAGTACACTTATTGCAGGAGGTACAGCAGTATATTTCTGGCTGCAAACTAAACAAAACATTAATAGAACACAGCAGAGGTCACACCTGCAAGCAGGAAGAGGGCTCCACCGGTCACAGCGACACGGGTCTTGGTGGCTGGGTTGTTGTCTCCCACCTTAGTGCACTTCATGCCCACCACGCTGACAATGATGCCGATAAAGCCCAGCAGAACTGACACCACCATAAGTGCCCGACATGTCTGGATGTGGACTAGGTAAAGAAGAGGAGAGGATGCAAGGAAGGGAGACCAGAATGGTGAATGACAGTGGCACAATAGAAGTAATGATAGAAAGCAATGGCAAAAAAGGAGAAGGTGAAAAGTGTTGGGGAGACTTTCAGTCTATCACTTAAAATGATACAGACATTTCTGGGCATAAAAGTGATAATTATAATGGAATGAAGCTACACAAGTCATGCATGATTGATGGGAAACCACATGCATTTATGACAGCAACCTCGTTAGGGGGAGTCCACCACTGAGCAGGATAATTTCAACTTTATATTGTTCAGAGATGGCTTTCTTGGCCAGGCTTTGAGAGCTTAAGTGATCTTCTCTATATCAGTCCACTGGGGTTTTGCCTTCTCAGAAATCTAATGTACCGCCCACACAGGACTCAGCACACACATAACTTAGTGGGAGGAACATATTTACACATATTTACACACACTACTATGTATGAGTACACAATATCAGCACACACACCAATACTGTAGGTGGAATAGACACAGATGAAACACAACCGCATCTCTCACACAGAGCAGAGCAGCTGTAGGAGGGCCTGCCTTACATGTTTCACACAGTAGGATTAGTGTGGCTTTGTCACAAAGTAAGATTGTTTTCATGGGGCTGTCGCCACAGTGATCAGACATTACTGCCTCAAACACAGGCATTCACCAATACTGCAATGCAAAAGCAACACTAAGCACTTAATGATACTGTCAAAACACTGATGGGGAATTCTTTCATTTACAAGGACTGTTGGAATCCCAGCAGCAGTGAAAAACATGCAAATTCCAATTTCCTGATTGTGATATCTGACTGAGCTGACAACTATGGTAATTATAGTAAACAAAACAAGAGGTGTTTGCACAGGTCTGTGCATCCAAGGTCAGGCATTAGCTTCAAATAAAAATGGCTTGAAGTGTAAGCTGGTGTTAACACATCACAGGACAGCATTCGAAATTAAATTGCATCAAAGTCACAAGCACAGCATTACTGAATGGACTAGAGAAGAAACACGAATACAGTAGAAGCTTTTGACCACATTACAAACAAAGCTCTACAAAAGACTTATAAATGGACCTTAAGTTAAAATTCAAGTAGTTGCTAGCCAGTTTTGTTTTTTGCTGCTTTTAACCACATAGCAGGGTCTTAAAAGAAAGAAGTAGGTGGACTTTGAGTTAAAAGTTTTGTCTTGAATGAAATATGATAGTTTAGACAGAGATTACAAAAAATTTAAAATGTATTAACTCAGTCCACTTACTAGCAACATTTGTGTTTACTAGCTCTCAAATGTATCTAATGTTCTAGCTAGTGAGTTCATGGCTTTGTCAAAACATTGTGTCCATGTTCAACAATGAAATTTCATATTTAAAATAAATAATTTTTAAAAATTGTTTGTTGTTGAGGTTTTCAACCATAAAACCATGGGAAAAGGCAAGTAAGGGAATACGTCTTCCTCTTCCTCTTCCTCTTCCTCTTCCTCTTTTTCTTCTTATGATTATTATTATTATTATTATTATGTTTTTCTAACTACTGTTATAATAAAAAATATTCAGTGACAAATAAAAATTTATACTGAACAGATTAGAAATTAGAATAAAATAGAATGTGACTGTTTTAGAAAAAATACATAAAACTGCTTCAGAAAGAGCTGTTGAGCAACAGCCTGAGCAGGAACATAAAGTCATCATTTTTCATTGTGGCAGGAATACACACACACCATCATTCACAGTGCAGCAGTGAAGTAGCATTTCAGAGGCTCATCTGAGGGGACTTATGATGGGGGGGGAAGAGGATGGAGCAATCTTTGAAGTCTGATTTATGGCTCCTCTGCAGCTTTTGATGGAGTGTCTGAATAGTGAGAGTGGTTTGATTTTGTTCCTTCTTTCATCTACTTTGGACATTCTGCTTTTCTTCTGAGGGTGTGTGGGGTTTAAGGCCAATTCTAAAAGCTACCACTCTGACCAGTTTCGGTCAGTGACAAATCAGAAGGGCATTCAGGGTGTTCGGAGGTGATAGAGAGGGTAAAAGGAAGGAGGGAAGTGGGAGTAGCCTGGCTCACCGGCCCTTTCTTTCCAGTACCAAGGTTGGCAGTGCCAGCCACAAGCTTTCAGTGAGTGCATGTGCTTTCTGTTGTGTGTGTAGGCTATGTAAAGTCCCATTGTGAGGTCACTTGTGACTCTTTCATACATAATACTTCTTTGCTCACTTACTACTCAATTATAAAACTAAATTCATGCAGTATGTGACCACTGTTGACCTTTTCAAATCCAGTTTTGCCTCAAACTGAAATTGTAAACTTTTATTTTATTTTTATTTGGCGACAACTACATTTTCCTTAACCAATCTCCCTTTGTTTAGTTCAGTTTTAAGTATACAGGGTAGTATCTCAGTTATCGTAACTCACCAAACTCTTAAAGCTAATGAATGATACAAGGATTTCTTCCAGTGAAAGTGGAATGAATGCTCTGTGGGCTGATGAACATCACACCACCTCACTGGCATGTGGTATAACCTCACACTTTATATTTATCGTTGTGGCAACACTACACCAACCCTTCACAAATCATTTTCCAGTATTAAAGGATTAGGTCTGGCTCAATCTATATATTGTTACTGTCATCAAATCCTATAAAAATAATAAAACCAACAGTGCCTTGATCCTACTAGCAATGCATGTGTATACCTAGCCTGATATGCAGTATCTTATTCTGCTGTGTCATAGAGCTCCAGTGTTGTCCAAAAAATAAAAAGCACATCCAGTCATCTGGCTGTCGTACTCAGTAGCACATCAAATGTGTATTAATCTGCAGGTGAAAACAGTCACCAAATGCACAGTTTGTTCCAGCTTCAGTAACATTTGCTGAAAACTACAGTACCCAGCTGTTTTTGGAACTTACTGAGCCTTTTTTAAGGAGTTGGGGTAGAGTGCCACAGATGAGATGGGAAAGTCAGAAAGTATTAGACAGTTAGCTAACAGATTGTTGGTTTTGATTTTATTGTTATTTGTTTTTTAACGACTATAAAAAGATATTGAATAACACCACTTATCCGTTAATAAGAAACAATTCGTGGGAGTTTGAATTGATTGATTGAATTTATTAGGTAGTTTCTTTTCCAGTTATTGAGCATCAGCTGATCCAAAGTAGTTAAACTGTTAAATCAACTGTAGGGAGTGTAAACTGAGAGAAACACTAATAACCATGACAGTTTTACAATGTGAAGTGTCCTCATCTACTGAATCTCAAGCTGCCTTCAGCAAGCAGAGTTGCAGTTTTACATGAATGTACACTGCAGAATGAGAACTACATTTGTCTACAAGAAACAGCATAAGATATGTTTTAAATGAATAAAAGGAAATGATGTCATGTTACAGACAAATTGGTAGGGCCAGTTCAGTGTGTCTTTAGTATCATACTCAGGTGTTTCTGGTCTCAAACACCTGTCCTCTCAGCACCACCACCACCTACCTTTCTGATTATAATAGCCAACCTTCTCAGCTGTGTGTTATGTTAATCACTGGCTCCTTTTTTAGCAGAGTGCTCAATAAACCTGCAGCAGATCCAACAGTTTTCACTTGCTTGGCCGCGTCATGGAGCACAGCACAGTCTGGTGAACAGTTACAGCCACCGTCACATGCTGCGCCTGCTGCAAATCTACCACAGAGAACATTTCACTCGTAATTTTTACCAGTGGATCAAACCAACACCAGAGGGGTGTTTCATCAGGATTCAGACCTGACCTCGGACACATGATTGGATGTCGATCTGCTCCGTTTCACAATCTGAACAAGCACCTGAACAAACCCGTGGCTGATAAAGAATGCTTGGTCTCAACTTTTCATTTCAGAGTAACATATAGCTAGCTCTTGTAAAAATTGTCTTCAGTGTTTATCTTCAGTCTAAATCTGCATTCACTGGGTGTGTTAATGGACAAATGGAACAATGTGTGTGTGGGGGGGGGGGAGACAGAGCACATTCTGAGAATATCTCTGGTGTTCGGCTCAACACTGCCCTTTTCTTCTCCTAACAGCCCCTATTCATCCATGAGGACAATACGTTGTTTTTATTGCTGCAATTAACCAAAGGAGATGGGAGATCAGCTCGGACACCCCATCACACAGCATGCCACAGAAAAGCTTTTGATATAATGATTCACCAAAACACCAAAATGTTTACAAAGTGCCTGGTTTGTTGCTCCAGTGCGAGTATGGACCAGCCAAGATCATAACCACAGAGATAAACAAGCTCAAAGTGTTCAGGTGTTTAGTGAAAACAACTTCTATCTGAGCCTACCCCCATCCCTCGTAGTCTTTCATTAGAATCTCTGCTAGGATGATTTAAGCAGACAGTAGAGGGGTGGAATCATATAATCTGTGTGCTATTAATTATGAGTCCCCAGATCCTGCTTACAGGATTGGAGACAACAGCAGCCTCATATTCTGAGCTAATTTATGTCTGAACCCTACATTCCTCACTGCCTCCCACTCCTTACACATTATGTTTCAGGATGTTTTAGAGTTTTAAGACCTAATTAAACTTTATGATAGAAGCAAACAGCAGTGTTTTAAGTAAGATTTACAGCTTTGCAATTTAATATGTCCCAGATAGAGAGGGCTGGGGAGGGGTTCTTTCTGTTTTTGCTGCTGATTAATACATGTGGTCAAAAGAATGAGACCACTTTTATAACTGTGATTTGTAATGCAACACATTAGTTATTTCTTTAGAACACTTGGGAAGACAAAGTGAAGGCAAGTGTTTTCACAGGGTCTTTCTCAAACAGAACTGTCTTATCAAAAAGACAAATTTCAAAGAAAATTAAATGAGGGCAGTCAAGAAAGTAATTTGAGCATGAAAGAATACAGTGGGAAGAATAGAGGCTAATTAAGGATTAGAGAAGCCTTTCTTGGTGATGTATTACGAGCAGATTACTGGCTTACTTGAATTTTAATTGTGCTTTTCCATCATCTGACAAATTATCCAATGGATATCAGTTAATCAGCCCCATAATGTCTTTAATCAAATCTCTAAGGAGTCTGCATATTTTCTTAGTTATATTATGCTTCAAGTATGTTAACATTCAACTCACAAAATCCCAATATAATCTCTTTAAAAGATGTTTTAATTTTATCAATATATTCCAAGTGTGGGGACACAAGTGTGAGCACAGACAGCACAAGGCAATAGAAGTGTAAGGTTTTGTCGAAGCAAAGTCAAACATTGTACTCACTATCCAGTGAAAGCATGGAGTCAAAGATCTTGCACTGCACCTGTCCTGTACTCTGCGAGGCGCAGCTCATCCACAGCCCCTCGTACAGACCTACAGCCGTGATGATGGCATCACCAGCGTATGACGACTGCTTCCACTGGGGCAAGGCGGTGGTGGAGATGATGCCAATCCAGCCACCCAAAGCCAGGAAATAGCCCAGCAGCTGTAGACCTGAGTTGGCCATCCGTATCTAGTTCTGTCTATCTAATTTTGTCTGAGCTTGCTCTTTGTCTCTGTTCAGGTGACCCCGGTTTATCGCCCTTTCTTCGAGCAGGCTGTGTAGACACACCTGTAGCAATCCTGTTATGTGTTTCACTGTTCTCTTCACTCTCTGGTCCCTCTGAGCATCTCCTTCTGCCCCTCTACTTTAACTCTCATCTGTAAAACTCCCCTCTTTCTTCACGCCTCTAACTCTTTCTTTCTGTTTCTGTCCACGTCCTGGGCTTGTTTGGCCCGTCAGCTGGGACGATAAGTTAATGTTTCCCCTGTCCTGTCTGATTCCTTGGGGCTCAGTCAAAATGGAAGAAAGGCTTTCTGGTGGTCAGTGGTACAGTTCATCAAGCATCGTCGCTGGGCTGCCTCACTCTCTGCATGGCTTCTTCCACCTCTCTCTCTCTCTGCTGCTTGCTTACTCCCCCCACACACACTACAATCTTTCCATCTGCTCTCAGCTCAAGTGGTTCAATGAGGGGTAGCAAAAAAAAGTTAAAAAAAAAAAAAAAAAAAAAAAACGAAAACACGTGAACACAAAAGTCCTTAACAGGCTGACCACAAAGGGATGGGGCAAAGGGCTGGCCTGTGATTGGACTCCTCTGTGTTGTAGGAACGCCCACTGGGAGGGAAGATGGCCGGGTTGGTTAGAAAAAAGAAAAAGAAGAAAAAACAGAGGTGAATTCAGAAAGACAAGTTCATAACAAAAATTTAAACACTGGTAAAATCAACAAAACTTCATGGTGCTCTTTTACCAGGTATAGGACACGTTACTCCTTTAAAAGCTTGCCTCAGCTGTTGGGGGTGTGTAGAAGGTGGTGGTAAAGTGCAACAAACACACGTAAATCAGCATTTAAACAATGCCAGGCTGAAAAGGACATGTCACATCCAGACAGGCTCTCTAAAAATTATGGGCTACCAAGGCAAACCTCCCTCATCACCATGGCAACTCTGACAAATGAAGAGAGAGAAAGAGACAGCAAGCGGGAGTTCACCGTACTGTGCATCCTTACAAGCTGCAGACACACTCCAGTCTTTTGTGTCTGTGGAGAGAGCAGAAACCTGTTTTCCCACAGTTGCGCACCCTATCAGCTCTCCTTCAACTTGACTCATTAAATTACTTTCAATTCACAGACTAACTCAGTAATTCTATTCTGCCAATTAGACTGTCAACACACTGGCTCCCAGAGACACGGCCATTTTCTCACATCTGTAAGAGACATGTCTCACTCAAACACACGCTCACACCCTGTCTACTCACCAAGCATGTTTTTGCCCACACTCCCACAGTTGTCTTCAGTGGACTTGAGCTGTAAAAATGTGAAGTTATGTAAAAAGAAACAGCAGAAACACGATGAAAAACAATTGTTCTATTTTAATGAACATACATTTATCCTCACCTATTTTTCTCACTTGAGTCCTTTGTATTTTCGGTTTGCCCTTTTGTTCCTTTTCTTACCTCCATTCAACCTTGAACTTGAACTTCAACTTGATTTTCTGTAACATCAAGAAAACAGGTGACCATGTATGTGATCTTGTGATCTCAATTTTCCAGCACCAAGTTACACACACAAATCTGCAGAAATATAACTAGAAAGAAGTATACATGCAGGTCTAGGTCTAATCCAAGCCACATTTGTCTTTTAAATAGTCAGAGTTTGTATGACCAATGCCACTGTGTGTTTAATGAGGGGCTTGAGATATTGGGTGAGTTGTAACCAGCGCACAGAAGTCAGCTGGGCCTGAGAGGCGAAAAGAGATGAAAGAGAGGCAAAACAAGCGTGCAGGCCTGGTGGAGGGGTGGGGGGTTTATCAAGGTTTCTAGAGGTCTTTCTGATCTTGAACCATAACAACACACTGCTATTGGTAGGATTAAAGTGGTGTGAGTCCAAGTTTTAAAAAGAAACTCTCCTCCTCAATTCATTTTTGATAAAAAGATAGGCTTGTCACCAAATGGTTTTCAGGTGAGGGTAGTCTCCTTGAAATGTGGCTCTGCAAGATGTAGAACTTCCTTCCAATGGGATCACTGCCAATGGATTTGTACACAAAGGCCAAATGAACACAGACAAACTTTTCAGCTTGATAGTGCTGACTGTGAATGTATTAAGGAGAAATGGACGATGCATTAAAAGATGGCACCCCGCTCATTTCTCTGAAAATTCCTCATGTTGTGCACACTCCAAAAAGTGTATACCATGTTCACAAAGGCTTCCTCCCAACCCACAGGAACAACCGTGAAGCAGTTTTGAAGTAGTGGTCAGACTGTTACTGCAACTTCTGCTTTCATCACATGATTCACACTGGCCAAAAAGCACTTTTCCCAAAGAGGTTTCTGTAGTAAGAAGAAGAACAATTGTTAAATGATGAATATTTTTTCTGAGCATCATAAACTCAGTGAAATTAATCTTTTTATTATCAGAATTTTATCTACTGGATAAAATATCATTTGAAAAATGTGTGCGGGAAACCAATACAAAGTCAGCTGACGAGGCACTAGTGCACATGCTCTGTGGGCCCAAAAACTCAAAGTGTGCAGAATAGTGAATTTGGAAGCATGATGAATTTTTTCAGAGAATGCACCAATAGCAGCTTTCAAAGAAATGAACTGAACACCATATTTTAATCCAATATCCAGTTCTCCTTGATACATCCATGTTTTGGTGTTTTTGGCATGTGCACAAAATGACTTCATAGCCCAGCTCCAGCATCAGAGTTGAAAATGGAGGAGGCTGTTGCTGCTGTGTTGCACCATCCACTTTTCCTAACCTCCTCCATCAGAGTGTTAATTGTGCAGCAAAAGAGCAATGGTTTGCAAACAGTTCTGAGAAGGAGGCAATGGTACAAATAAGCTTTTTGTATAAAAACTGTATGAGCCCATTAGTGACCTAGAATATATAAAGTTGGGGGCCAGATGAGGCCATTGAAAATCCTGAGGTGGCAAAATACAAAGGCTATACAACACAGAGGAAGTTTATGCTATGCAAGCTAAAAGAAAGGTAAAGATACTACAGTATATTATAGTGTAAAATAAACTGCATCCTGTTTAATATCATAATCTGAGATTCACATGAGATCAGGAATAATTAATTATTAAATTATTATTTCCAATTCAAATGTATCTTCAGCAACAAATCAATTGTATGGATTGCTTAAATATAAATAGTAATTTTTAGGTGAAACCAAAGGTTTCATTCCTGTCCAGCACATCATATTTCATATTATTTACAAGTTTCTTTTTTTGTTTGAATCATAGCCTTGAACAGCAATTTTATTTATAAGATTCTAAGTCAAAAATTACAAGTTGCTATAATTCTAGGCATATGTGTCGAAAGTAATAATGAACTACGAATGCAAAATTGTCTTAGCTAAACATTAATGTAAGCTGTGTATTAAAAGTATTTTGGCAAAAATATGACAGTTTGAAACATGGTGAGCAGTGAAGTAGATGATGCTGTGGTGGAGGTTTATATTAACACTGTAATACCTTTTATGGGATACCTAGTTATTTTTTATTAGTCTAGATTTTAAGGCAATTCACTGATAGTTCTCTGACTTTGTTGAATGGATGTGAATGTAATTTTGTTCAAGCTGCTCACATTGCTGAGAAATTACATATATTCAACATCTCGATCTCTGCATACAGACTTTGTCAACTGTTTTCATATAGACTGCCTTTTTAGTAAGTACTGAATGTTTGAGTAAACCATTCTTTTTAGGTGAAACAAAAATTTCACTGTTGGTAAAAAAAAATGTTTCTCCATTGTCATGTTTCTTTCACTTTACTGGTTCAATACAGCTGTAATCTCCATTGGCTAAAAGAAAGTGTAAACCTTGTTTCTAAAATAACTGAAGAAGTCCATCATCATCTCTGACTCTTGCCCAGCACTGTCAGTCTGTGCTCCACCCCCATTACCAATGTGGATACCCCCCCTTTGCTTCTTGCAGCTCTTATTTTTTTGATATGACTTTCCTCAGCATGTCCCAAGACATGTGCTTAGCATAGCCTCGTACCCATGCACACACTGTTAAGACTTTAGGCACCCATCAGATTAGCCCCTGTTGTCAGGGTTACCATCAGACACAATGTGGACATGTAAACAGTACTAGTGAAAAGTTATATAACACAATAGGCAGGTTATGGATTCATCTGTTTGAAGTATCACGTAGGGATTATTCAGTGAACCAGCTTCACTTTGATGTCACATGAAGCAAATTCAGAAGGCAGTCATACATCTGGAAAATACTACACCATATAACTGATATCACTTTGGATGTGAGTGTGTACACAAGTTAGCAGTATTCCCAGAGACCTTGCAGTGCTCTCCAGTACACTATAATTACACTATGTCAAGCCTTTCCTGTTAATGTTTTTCACCCAGAGAGCCAACATAAGAAGGTGGTGTCTGAATGAATGCTAACTAAGCACAGAAATGAATAATGTATGTCTGCATCCTAAGGAGAGATCCTCTGGTCAAGCTCAAGTGCCCCTGAAGAGACTGTTGGCTCTGCTCATTACCGAGTTGAACAGGACGTCTTTTCCCCAAAGTAGACAGCAGCACTGAGTGCTCTGACAGAAAAAAGCAACTTTAAGAATGTGGAGGAGAAATGCTGTTTAAGAGTTTGGCAAAGTCATTGTTGTTGACTGTTCTCCTAATTGCTTTGATTATGTCATTTTGGGTGCTTAAATCTTAAAATTTCTGTGAGCAGTTGATGGAAGAACTTTCCAGAAATGTTTCAAATGGATGATATATGAATTCTTTTCATCCTCTGTTTCCTAAACTCAATATGATGGACCTTGCTTTCATGACTGTTCAGCTGTTGGGTAAGCATATTCTTTGGTGGTGAGTCTTACAGTGACGTGGGGAGGAATAAAAGGAGGCCCTTCCTTTTTCCATCCTCTCCACCCATTTACCCTGCAACCTGTTAATCTCTCCATCACTTTTCCCTCTTTTCTTCCTCCTCTTCCTTACAACTCCTCACCAGAGGATACATGGCTCAGAGGGTGCCATACTGCCTCTCTGTCGTCTCTCCCCACCTCTCTCCCTCTCTCCCCAGATTTTCCAGACCCCTGCTGCACTAAGCTGAGCTTAAAAGTCAGCTGAGCTGATCAAAGACCATAACCATGTAGTGGCAAACAAGAGGCGAGAGTTCCCAACGACACAGGACCTCCCAGGGGTTTCCATAGACCTAGTGTAACTAGAAATGACATGGAGGGATGCAAGCAGATTATGCACAGTGCCTGCATGACAGTTTGAATAGTTGTATGGTAGGTGTACACAGATGGCTGGTGGTTTTCCTGAGAAAATGTATTTGTCCCATAGAGGTTGATCCCAGGTCCATGAGACATTTTGCCAGTGAGAAAGAGCCATCTACCCTCCATTACTCAACATCCCCATAGAATGAGGAAGGCCCAGGTACTTTCACAACCTCCTCCCTACCGCCACCCCCATGCCCTTGTTTCT